ACACACACACACACACACACACACACACACACACACACACACACACACACAGACACAGAGAGAGAGACACACAAACACAGAAAAAAAAAAAGAAAAATAAAGCAATGAAATGAAAAAAAAAAGGAATCCGGGAACAAAACAACAACAACAAAAGCAACCAGCTTTGGTTTGGGCATCATGCGTGCGCACACACAGGCTTCTCTGTGTAGATAAATGTCAGTGCTGGGAAAAAATARCATAATTATACTGAAGGCTGGTGTGGCATTTGTGCTAAGCATTGTGGGTAATGGACTAGAATAATTGGACTGGTTGAGTCCAAAGTTTCAGGTAGGAAATCACCACGGCTTAACTAAGTGGGTTTATTTGAGTCGCTGTGTTTTCACACGAGTGCAAATTATCAGATTTAGAGCAACAGATGCAAAACGTTAAACAACAAAAGGGTGAAGCATTTTTATAAACTGGTTTAAATGATAACAATGAGAATAAACATAATAAATWCATAAAAACAGACTGAACATGAACTTATTTTATAGATATTTGTTATAATGGATGTCTCGATGAGTGTGCATACAGTTCAAGGTGTAAGTGTAARGTTTATTTATTACACTAAACATAGAAGAGATTTTCTGTAGCAGAAAAAAGCAATATGGAGCCAGTTCACTGAGTCATCTAAATCCATTATCTGTAATTATACAAATTAGAACAAATGAAATCTGAACTCATCTTTTACTTTTGTGTAAAATGTAAAAAAAGAAGAAAATGACGTGCAAGCCTATACACCTATATTTTATTTCCCAAGAACAATAGTACACATATCAAATGTTGAAACTAAGAAATTTGACCCTTTTTTTTTTTTTAGAAAAACAGTATGGTAGAATTTAGTCTTATTGCAGAAATACAAAAAAGGTGGAGAGAACGGCTGTAATAGGTAYAAGTAGGAGGAACATTTTGTGTTGAAATAAGTTAATTGGCAACATGTCCGGTATGAAAAGAACATTTCAGAAGTAAAGATGGGCAGAGTTTCAGTCAGATGTTATACAGTATAAGCATGTCCGTCATAGATTTAGATGTCAATAAATTCAAAATTACCACAATTTTCCTTAAAATGCTACAAATAAATGTGTTCTGTATAGCTAATATTCTAACATTATTTTAAAATWAAACACTCATACACATGAGTAAATTCACTGCCATTCAGGTGTTTCACTTACCTGACAGCAGATTTGGGTATGGATCCATACAGCAGCGAGCTGAGGCCTCGGTACAGCCCTTTAACTCCGTGACCCTGGACCGTCTGCTTCACACAATCAGCTGGATAAAGACCCCATAATTAACATGGCTGAAGAATGTGCGCAATGTTRTGCTATGTATCTACTGTATGGCACATCTAAAGCAGGTAAACATTGAAAAGGAATATCAAACACTTGTCCTTCATCTTTGATTCATAAATATCAGATAGAAATGAAGCATTACATAATGACGACTGATTCTTTATGAGAAGTAATTAAACAAAACCTAAAGCTTTTTGTTGAACTCGCTCATGGTGCGTGTAGTCCTATCAAATCGAAAGCACAGCCGAGCCAAAATACAAAAAAATAAAAAAAAATAAAAAAGCAACAGCTGTCTCTGATGCTCATTAGCATAGACTCCAACCCTCAGAGCCCCAGCAGACGTCAACAAACCCAGAGTGTGTTTGTATATGCTGGTCTGCACGGGTATGGAGTGTGCACTGGTCTGTTTTAAGTCACATTAATGAGCACGGTGACAGACTTCCAGAATCACAAACTCACCTGAGCGTGATGGGTAATTAGATAACGAGCTTCAGTGGAAGATGAGGAGACAAAACATTTAAGAAAAGTGAMGGATGGATTCTCACCTATTCCTCTATATTTAGGTGGATTGGCCTTTTCATCCAGCTGTAGCTGGGTCTTCACATATTCTGTTGGAAAAGTGATGCAGATCTCTATGCCACCAGCAATTCCACCTGGAAGGAGACAAAATCAGAGGGAATATTCAACAATTCACCAAAGAAAGACTAAAGTAAATAAATGGAAATAATTTAAAAGTTTGCCTTAAATAGTTTAATTGTTGACCAATCAGGGTTTTTCAATCGACAATGTTGATTTTTAGTAAACAATGCAGCCAATATCTGGTTTAAAAAGCCAAATAGTGTTTGTTTATTTATTTATTTGCCTGTAAATTTTATTTTTTAAAAGGTTCTACAAACCAGCTTAACGGCTGGGGTAAAGTTGCTGAGTCACAGGTTGGGTAGGTTTAACCAAATATGGGGTCAAAACCTTGGATCAAGATGAGTTGTGTCATTCTTCACAGTTGGCCATTTTAAGCCAGAAGTTGACCACATTGGTCCTGACCAGATCTTTTTTTTAGAATGTATACTAAATAAAGGTATAATGGTAAAAACAAAATGTAAGAAAACATTTAAAYTGGTCATCTTTCTTAATTTTAGTTTGTACAAGACAACCTGTTTGAGTTCCTGAAATAGCAATAGCTGGTGCTAGGTAGCTAGCACCAGCTCTTTGCAACTGGATTCTAGATTTCCAGTCAAATCATTCAGAATGCGTCAGATTTGGACAGCATGTTTCCTCCACTGTAACCATTAACATTAGGGTTCCACAGGGATGTGTGCTTATGGTACTGAATGGTACTGAACTTATAGAGCGCTTTTCAAGTCCCTCCGGACCCCAAAGCGCTTTACACTAACAGACATTCACCCATTCACACTCACATTCACACACTGATGACGGCAAACTACACTGTAGCCACAGCTGCCCTGGGGCACACTGACAGAAGCGAGGACCCTCTGACCACCATCAGTAGGCAAGGTGGGTGAAGTGTCTTGCCCAAGGACACAACGTGAGATGGCTGGAAGGGGGAGCGAACCAGCGACCTTCCGGTTCCAGGACGACTCCCCCAACCACTCCGCCACAGCCGCCCCCAATTAGCCCACTAATGTACACAATATGACTGCTCAGCCTCCTTCATGCCTAATCTTATCATTAGGTTTGCAGATGACACCACGTGTTTTGGTCTGATAACAAACAGAGGTGAGGCAGATTATAGGAAAGATGTACAACATCTGGTATCATTGTGTGAAGATCACAACATTAAAAAAACAAAAGGAGAAGAAAGGATCATAGATTTTAGGAAGTCAAGGCAAGCCAGTTTAACTCCATTAAATCCTGSAATCCCAGTCAGAAGCAAGGCCCAACAGCTCTGCTACCTGGAGGAAACTAAAGGAAACAAAAACCTCTCACACTCAGCTGCTTCCCTCAGGGAGGAGATTCAGCTCCATATGCACCAGAACCAGCAGGSTGGCTCACAGCTTCCACCCCGTAAGCTGTCAAGAAACTGAACAAACACCTCCCACCTCCACGCCTATAGGACACTAAGCCATTTGTTCCATGTCACAACCTCTGTTTCTGTAAATGTTAAAAAAATTTAATACAGAACACGGCTGTAGACAACTTTAGGACCATGGATTGCACTTTTTTCTGGGTTGCCCATTGTCATTGTTTGTGGTTATCTTAACAAAAATTCTGATTCTGAATCATGGCGTCTTTGTCAAAGATGGTTCGCTGACATACAGCAGGTAAAATAAGTATTGAACACATCACCATTTTTCTCAGTAAATATATTACTAGAGGTGCTAATG